AATGGTGTTCGGGCTGCAGTTGGGATGCAGGGCAGGGAGGCAGGGAGGCTGGTAGAGGCTCAGCCTTGTTGTGTCTGACTTTACAGCCTAACTCTGCTACCGTGTGGCCCCCCTGTGTCTCTGGGGAATCTATCCAACCTCTCTGACCTCTCTCTTTCAACATGAGGACAACACGCTGGCCTTTCTCTTTGGGGAGCTATTCATGAAAGGAATGGCGAAATGCCCCGAGAAACACTGAGCGGCGTGTGAAGCTAAAGGAAAAGCAGATTCAGGCTTCTCCTTTAAAAAATGTGTCCTGGGCATGCATCTACAAATAAAGTCATCGAGACATCCTCTTCTGTGGATGGTTTCCTCAGGAGACTGCAGTGTTCAGAAAAAGGACACAATTTTGCCAAAGGAGAAGGGTCATAAGAGAGAAAAACCACTGTTAAATTCTGCCTTCCCTCATTTCTGAAATGTTTCCTTTCACACAGGAAGGAACAGTTTGGGATTTGAGCCGTTACCATGGAGATAACCAGCCAAGGTCACTTGACTGGAGGAGCCTACGGCCCACTGGCAGTGGATCATGAAGGCAAAGTTATGGAGTTGGAGTTTGGTCCTCGGCTCAGGGGACAAGATTTGAGCCTCTACTCATGGGCCAGGGAGGGGGTTCTTTTGTCCTGCCCAGTCCCACCTTCTCTTCTTGCATCTTCCCTTGCACCCCTTGCAGTCCCATCCTAGCACTTCCTTGCCTCGTTCAAAATAGAGCTGAGGTCTTATTCTGACATTCCTAGGAATTTGTTTTCTTACCTTGCATTCTCTTGCTAAGAAACACGATGGAAGCATTCTTCCCATCAATAACTATACTCCTCTCTTGTCCTTAATGGTTTTCCATCTCCTCTTTTCTCTTTATCCAACTTCTCTCCCTCTCTTCCTCTCTCTCTATTACAAAAATAGTAGTAACCACAAAGCATAATACTTACTCAGCACTGATTACATGCCATGCGCATACTTCTAATCTGTACAGCCCTGTGCTTTGAGATTCTACCCTGTTCTAAGCACTTCTTTAGGTGCTGGGAAAAATGTAACACCTGCCGACCCTTCAAAGAGGTCATAGCCTCCATATAGATGAATTCCAATAAAATTAAGTCTGTTACTTTTATAACATTAGTTGAGTATTTCTGTGTGCAGAGCCCTTCAGCTCTACAAAGGATGTAAGAATACATGGCTTGTGTCTTTGAACAGCTTGAGGACACCGTGGTGTGATTAAATGGTCAAACTATATTGTTTATCTAATATTTGCATTGCTCTGTGACAGGCACTTTCCCTTTGATTATCTCATTTACTTTCCTAAGGAAACTCTGAGGTAGGTCTATCTCTAATACTGTTAATCCACAGAAGGAATTGAAGGCTCAAAGAAGTTAGTTGCTGGCCAATGTAATGAAGGATTCAAACGCAGGTCCTCTGATATGAAATCTGGAATTCTTTTAATCATTAAAAAGTAAAGATCAGGAGACATGGCATCTAGTTCCATCCAGACAGTTGGCAGCTCTGTGACATTGCCCATGTTGCTCAACCTATCTGAGCAATGGAAATTCCTCATTGGTAAAATGGAGGTAGTAATATTTTCTTTACTGCTCTCAAAACATGGTTAAAACTGCTTAGAAAACAGCTGGAAAAATAAAAAGTCTTTGTCTTTTATAGGGGGCTATTCATAGGTATTACTAGCATTCACTAATATGCAATTCTTCTCCCCTCTGAAAGCATGAACAATTACACTTCTCAGCTCTTTTCCTCCCCCTCCTCCTCTACTGACAGGGCTTGAGCAAGGCCATACGATTCATCCTGGTCCATATAAATGGAGCACAAGTGATATATGTCACTTCTGAGCAGAGCAAGTGAAAAGCTCATGTATGATTTCCTAGTCACCATCTTCGTCTGCATGCCACCAATGAGACCACTTGTTCCAGATGGTGCAAATAATAGGTGGAGCCTGTGTCAGCCTGAAACAATGAGTTACTGCCTGGAAGGCAACTGCTCTGGAAAGTTGCCCAAACCTGCAGCTGGCTTTTCACAAAGCGACAAGAATCCAAGTTATGGTGACGATAGAAATCTTGGGGGTTTTGTTATTGCAGCATAACTTCACCCATCAGATGAATACAGGGTATGACCGTATAAGAGAGAGAGGGCATTGGAAGTTGCCTTTTAGATCATCTAACCCCACCCCTCCATTTAGTGACAGGGGCATTAAGGCTCAGAGAAGTTAAGGGGCTTGTTCAAAGTCACAGAGGGAAATAGGAACAAGGCAGGGGTTACAACCCAGGCTCCTGACATTTGGTCTAAGATGCTCATGGTGGGTGTGTCCATGGAGGCCTTTTCCAAGGCTCAATGAAGATAAAAGACCTAGAGGGTCTTCTCCCTTGAGCCACCCACCTTGAGCTGTCCTGAGCAGCATTGAGTCGTTGGTGCTATCTCTATTTTACCAGTTCCATGAGCCTTGCTGGGAATTGGCCTGTTTTTCCTTTTTCTGGTCAAAGCCTGGCACTTGTTGCACTTATGGTGCGATGAAGCTGAGCAGGCAGGAGTAAACATATTCCCCCAAGGCTGTGCAACGTGACATCACTGGAAACTTTCATAAAGGGGAAGAAGCTATAAATAAGAAGAGGGAAATATTCAACCAAGACTGAATGCAGTTGTTCTGCATGAAGCTTACTGGCATTTGGGTTTCCATTTTATTTTATTTTATTGCATATATTTCTGCTCAGCTGCAGCACCAGAACAGCTTGCATGCAGCCCTCCTCCCCCACTGCAGAATGCTCCCAGCACTGATGTCCCTCAGTCATGGGTGACGACTCTTGAAGGCAAACAAACGCTGGAGGTTCAGCTCTGGATTTCAGATGAGGCAGAAAGCAACAGGCACATCACAGACCATTATTTTTATATGCTTAACCTTGATATGGAAGGCATATTTTCTCCCTCATTTCTATCTTCCTTTTCCACTCAGAACTTCTGCCAAAGAACCGGACATAATGCCTGGACAGAGGTTCTGTTTCTTTTTCAAAATCTTCTCCTTTTCTACCCTCCTGTTGCTCTGTGCTCATGCACTGATAATAGCAAAAGTTCTGTCTTTCTCATAGGATTATAAACCTCTTGAGAGCCAGAACTCTGTAGTATTATTTTTATAGTCTGCATGTCTATTTGAGCTGGCATTCCTCAGGGCTCTTTCTCATAGTATTATTTTCTTCTTTTTTTTCTTGAAACAGAGTCTCACTCTGTTGCCCAGGCTAGAGTGCTATGGCATCAGCCTAGTTTACAGTAACCTCAAACTCCTGGGCTCAGACAATCCTCCTGTCTCAGCCTCCCAAGTAGCTGGGATTCCAGGCGCAAGCCACCATGGCCAGATAATTTTTTCTATTTTTAGTACAGATGGGGTCTTGCTCTTGCTCAGGCTGGTCTTGAACTCCTGGCCTCAAGTGGTCCTCCCAGCTTGGCCTCCACAGTGTGCTAGGATTACAGGCATGAGCCACTGCATCTGGCCTTCATTTCTTCTTATTTTACATTTTCTCTTTGGGTTATATCACCAACCTCAATCTTCAACTATTACATAAATAATTACAACAAACACCTATTTAGTGCTTACTATGTGCTAAACACTGTTCTCATGATGTTTAATTTTTATAAAAAGCTAAAAGGCAGGGATTTCAATCCCATTTTAAAGATAAAGAGGCCAGGTGTGGTGGCTCATGCTTGTAATCCTAGCACTCTGGGAGGCAGAGGTGGGAGGATTGCTCAACCTCAGGAGTTCGAGACCAGCCTAAGCAAGAGCGAGACCCTATCTCTACTATAAGTAGAAATAAATTAGCCAAAACAACTAAAAAATAGAAAAAGTTAGCTGGGCATGGTGGTGCGTGCTTGTCGTCCCAGCTACTCAGGAGGCTGAGGCAGAAGGATTGCTTGAGCCCAGGAGTTTGAGGTTGCTGTGAGCTAGGCTGACACCACAGCACTCTAGCCTAGGCAACAAAGTGAGACTCTGTCTAAAAAAATAAAATAAAAAGATAAGGACACTGAACTATAGAGAGGTTAAGAACATTGACCAGGTCATGCAGCTAGCAGCTAGTTAGCAGCAGAATTATGATTTGAACTCGGCAAATCTGACTACAGAGTTAATACACCTACCTGCCTGCCATGCTGCCTGTCTCCAAAGCCCAATCATTCGGTGTTAGCCTGGACTTTTCTCATGAACACTGATGCCTCTGGATGTATCCACTTATGTCCGATAAGCACCTTGAATACCTGATATCAATACTCGAACTCATCATCTTTTTCTCCAAAACGTGTCCCCCAATTTAAATTTCCCATAATCTATTAGTCATAGGTGCTGGAAACAAAAGTCAAACTCAAGCTTCTCTTCCTTACCATAGGTCATCAGGCTGCCTCTGAAACCTCTTTTCATTCACATGGTCGTTATTTGTCCCCCAAAGTATTTCTTTAATTACAAAAATACTGAGGACCATAGAAGTGTTGAACCAGGAAAAGGCAGCACAATCAGAGCTGTGTTTACATAACATAAAAAAAATAATTTAATATTTGGGACGGAGCATGCTAGGTACTGGATGCACAATGATAAAAACTCAATCTCTGTTATCACCATGCTTATAGCTTTTCCCATTCTGTAAGGTGAATTGAAGAAGGGAGGTAAAGAAAAAAGGATTCCGAGGAAGAGGAGAGAAACACCTGAACTGGGGCCATGGCAGGTGAAATAGAGACACAGAAGCTAGAAATACTGAGAAGTTAAAATCGACAAGGTTTTGCAACTAGTTGGATGTTAGAGAGGAAAGGAGAGGGTGGAATAAAAGATGACGCTAAGGTTTTGAGTCTGCATAATTGAGAGAGAAGAAGTGCCAATAATAAAAATGGATAGTTAATCCTGGAGAGGATTTATTGTGTTGTGCATTTTGAGTTGGAGGTGCTGACATGATATCCACAAAGCATTTGGAAAATCAGTACGGGAACTTTTCCAGAAGCTGGTGCTACAGACAAAGATCTGGGAGTCATGCACACGAATATGTGTCCTTGAAACCTTGAGCATGGCTGATATAGTCAAGGGTGAATGGAAATAAAGAGGAACACAAACCATAGCCCTTCAGCTACTTCTTGGGGGCTGGGGGAGGAAAGGGAGAAAGAGCAGGAGCAGTCCAAGAAGTAAAATCAGGATGGCAGAATGCCCAGGAGCCAAGCAAACAGAGACTTTCCAGAAGGCGGAGATGGCCAGCCATAGAGAGATGGGGGTGGAGGATGGGAAAAACTCTCCTGTGAAGACTCGTAGGTGATTAGTACCGGTAAGATGCAGAATTTGTAGAGTAATGGGGTGGAGATATCACAGGTATATCAGATAGACGCATGTTGAGGAATAGGACATTGTCATTAGAAACTCACTCTTGTAGGAAGTTTGGCTGTGAAGAGCTAAGTATACAACAGTGTGGCTAGTTCAAGGAGTTGGAACTACTCAGTCTTTTTTACTTGCCGTTAATTGCTACTTAGTTTAGGTTGCGAATCTGCTTTCACTCTTTTTGATAGTATGGGGTGACTCGGTTCCTTTGTATGTGTGTTTCTGTAGGGGCTGGTGTTTCCCCGGGTTTATAATGGATCTCCATGAAAGATACCCAGGGAGGATATTGAGCCAGCCTGTGGGATTTGCCTGGAGATGTGTTATTGGGTTGCTTCAGAAAGCAGGAAGGTAAAGGTAACATAATATTGTTTCTTCTACTGCAAATATCTCAATGCAAATATTATGCTGGCAAACCTCTGCCTTTCTATGATTTTCTCTTCAGGTTATATAAAGAAGCACCAAAGAAAATAGAGTGATGTTGTATTTAGAATTGGCCTGGATTTTATACCTCTCCAAAGTGATTTTTATTGAGGAACACAATTTCTCTAGGTGCTTGAGAATTGATTAGGTGTATGATTGTATATAATGGCACTTTTTAATATAGAACATGTCAAAAGGTTTTATCTGATTATGTTTAATTTCTGGGTTCCAAGAAAATGATTAGGGTGTAGTTTGTGGATATTGGTTGTAATTCAAATTACGTTAAAAAATCAGATTTCTGAATAAGTGAGTGGTGATGATTTTCTGGTAGAGAGTATAAGAAGCATAATTACTTCAAGGGCCTCCACCATAATAAAAATACATCATTAGAAATAACTGGCTGGTTTAAAATCCTCCTTGTATTTCTTAATAGAGATCCGTGAAGAGGCATAGATCAGACCTACAAAATCACACACAGACAAGAAGGGTGTTCCCCAACAAGGATGGGTTTAGGTTGCCCAGGGGCAGATGCTATAGACCACAGAAGCAATGCTGCACCAAGAACCAGAGCAGCTGAATTCAAACTACTTGTCATTATTTCATAATTTAAGGAATAGCATTATTTTGTGGCAATAATGATTAAATATTAAGACTTTGACAGCTTGAAAGCAGCTGAAAAGGAGGATGAAGAAATATTACTATATTTCAATTGAAAAGATAAAATGTAACTTTAGTCTTCAGATAAATCAAATGGTACTTTTTAAAAGGTTTTTTTTTTTTTTAATTTCGAAATGTTAAGGGGGGTACATATGTTTTTGTTATATGGATACACTGTATAAAGCTGAAGTCAGGGCTCTCAGCGTGCCTGTCACTGGGACAGTGTTCATTGTAGCCGATAGGTAAGGTTTTATCCCTCACCCCACTCCTACCCGCCCTCCCTCCTTAGTTTCCAATGGTCTTTACTTCTCTTCGTGCCCGTATGTACCCATCCTCTTATTAGTGAGAATATGTGGTGTTTGTTTTCCTATTCCTGAGGTAATTCACTTAGGACAATGGTCTCCATTTCCATCCAAGTTGCTGCGAAAGACATTATTTCATTCTTTTTTATGCCCGAGTAGTACTCTATGGTATATATTAATATATACATTTTCTTTATCCACTCATCCATCGCTGGGTACGTAGGTTGATTCCATATCTTTGCAACTGTGAATTGTGCTGTGAAAACCAGTCAAGTAGAGATGTCTTTCTGATAAAATGATTTCTTTTCCTTTGGGTAGATACCCAGTAGTGAGATTGCTGGATCCAATAGTAGGTCTACTTTTAGGTCTTTGAGGTATTTCCATACTCTTCTCCACAGAGGTTGTACTAGTTTGCAGTTCCACAAAAAGTGTATAAGCATTCCTTTTTCACTATATCCACATAAGAAACTGTTGTTTTTTGGCCTTTTGATAATAGCCATTCTAAAAGGGTAAGGTGGTATTTCATTGTGGTTTTAATTAGAATTTTCCTGATAATTAGTGATGTTGGATATTTTTTCATATGTTTCTTGGCCATTTGTTTATCTTTTGAAGAAATTCTGTTCATGCTTTTTGCCCATTATTTGATGGGGTTGTTTATTTTTTCCTTGTTGTTTGAGTTCTTTGTATTTTATGGATATTAGTCCTTTGTTACATGTATAGTTTGCAAATATTTTTTCCCATTCTGTAGGTTGTCTGTTTACTCTTTTGATTATTCTCTTTGCTGTGCAGAAGCTTTTTAATTTAATAGAATCCCATTTACTTATTTTTGTTGTTGCTGTATTTGCCTTTCAGGTCTTAGTCACAAATTCTTTGCCAAGACTGATATTTAGAAGAGATTTTCCCTATGTTTTCTTCTAAAATTTGCATGGCTTGATGCCTTACATTTAAGTCTTTTATCCATCTTCAATTAAGTTTTGTGTATAGCGAGAGATAGGGGTCCTATTTCATTCTTGTGGCTATCCAATTTTCCCCAGCACCATTTATAGAATAGGGTGTCCTTTCACCAGTGTATGTTTTTGTCTGCTTTGTTGAAAATCGGTTTGTCATAGCTGTGCAGTTTTATTTCTGGGTTCTCTATTTTGTTCATTGGTTTATGTCTCTACTTTTATACCAGTACCATGCTATTTTGGTTACTATCACCTTGTAGTATAATTTGAAGTCAGGTAATGTGATGCCTCCAGATTTGTTTTTGTTTTTTTTTTGTTGTTGTTGTTTAATATTATTTTGGCTATTTGGGTTCTTTTCTGGTTCCAAAAGAAGTTTAGGATTATTTTTTCCAGACCTGTGAAATAAGGTGTTGGTATTATGATGGGAATTGTATTCAATCTGTAAATCACTTTGGGCAGTATGGACATTTTAACAATGTGGATTCTACAATCCATGAGCATGGGATTTTTTTTTTCCTATTTGCTTGTGTCATCTTTGATTTCTTTCATCAGTGTTGTATAGTTCTCCTTGTAGAGACCTTTCACCTCCTTGGTTAAGTATATTTCTAAGTATTTTGTTTTCTTTGTAGCTATTGTGAATAGTATTGAGTCCTTAATTTGACTGTCAGTTTGACTGTTATTAGCATATAGAAATACTCCTGATTGGTGTGCATTGATTTTGTAACATGAGACTTTGCTTAATTTATGAAATGATACCTTTAAAACAAAATCCAAAGCAGGGAAAATAACTAGAACTGCCATGTGAATTTAAAATGTTGATATTTTACTACTGGAATTCATATTTCTGGTAGAAAATGGGGTCTGATTTTACTTTAGGGATTAGGTTCTAAAATCAGAATATAAGGCAAAATTTTCCTTGATAGCCCTTTAATTGCTCTTACAATTCCAGAAGCTGGGTACTTTCAACTTTGAATTGAAGAATAAACTTATGTGATTTCTTGGAGTACTTTGGTCATGGCCTTCTTTTCCTTGGGTAGTAGAGTCTGAGGGAGATGTTGAATAAGGGAGTTTTTTTTTCATGCTCTCTCTTTTATACACGCGCACACACACACACACACACACACACACACACACACTTGAATTCCCATAAATGTAGTGTTCCTATTCTAGACTTAGCTATAAAATAGGTGAGTTATTTCTCTGTTGTGGTTGTTTTCTGCCCTAAAAGCAATCCATACTATTAATATATTTCTATGCTATCTCTCTATGTCACCCAAGTAAGAGGCACTGCAAATCAGCTATATTCTTGACTACAGTTGTGACAAGATCATAATATTGAGGAAAATGAAATTGCTTTTTGAGTCACATTCCCAAAACTCAACCAGAAATGTCGTAAGTGTTTAGGGCCTATGGTTTTAATGGTCACTCTTTTGCATTTTAATGTATGTGGTCAATTCACATTTATTGGAAGCCCATTGTGTGTCTGTAGTCCCTTTCAACATATAATCTCATTCAATCCTTACAATGGCTCTGTGGTGTTCATCTTCATGCCAGAAATTGAGGCTCTGGGAAGCATCTAAGATCACATTACTAATAAGGTGTAGAGTTAGGATTTGCCCTATGTGTTTAACTGATACAAACACATGTATTTTTTTTCTGCTCTGCACTACCATGTTGCCTCATATTCCCACAAAATAATAGTAAAATCATGTAATTATTTTTTCCCTCTGTTTTGAGTACATTCGTGTTAGGCTTTATGTAAGTCTCACATTTCTTCATGAGTTTGAAAACTCATAGCCAGTTAGGAAAGCTGTTAAACTATAAAATATTCTAAACCATCACCCAAATTATCTTGACTGTATTCTCAGCATCATTCAGAGAAAGAGCAGTTCTATTGTAATACAAATTGGAAATGCAATTATGCTGTGAACTGAGATTGCAGTTCTCCAGAATGGTTTTCCTGTGGTGGAAATAGAGATCATGGCCAAAAGGGGTACCCAGGGCCCTAACAGGTAAAGGGCCAGGTGGGTTGTGGAGGGAAGAGAAGAGCAGGCTTTGAGATGCTTACCCGTGGCTGCAAATGGTTTGAACAGAGCCTTAGAGACTTAGGGTGGAAAATTTGATAGCTGTTGATTTGAATAGAATAGTCATTTCAGTACTTATTGTAGATGCAGAACAGTGAATGGAAAAAAGAAGCAAGGCCATTTAAATTCATTTATTCGTTAATTCAATAAACATTCATTTTTGAATCTTTATTGTTCACAGGATCATTTTGTTCTAGTGCCTCTGAATGATTCAGAGAAAAACAAGATGATTTTTCTTTTAGGGCTGGAAATACTAAGTACTTAACAATGATAGCTAGATGGTACCTTCAAAATACTTGGAAACTTTTTTTGTTTTAATTAAAAAAAGAAAGAAATTTATTTTGCTTGCCAAAGGGCTTAGTATTGAACAAATTCAATTGAATTTAAGCCTTTCATGGAAATAGTCAACTGGTTCTTTTGTTTTTCTTTTTCGTTTTAATGGAAATTTCCAGGCCAGTCTTCCTGATTGGATTTTATTGTGTCAGGTTCAGACCCTGCCTTATCTACTGAATCTTCTCCAGCTCCATGGTGACAGACAACACAGAGGGGAAAATATATTGCACCAAAGCTTGTGAACACTTGCCTCCATAAATTCACTCTAAGCATAGTTCCTCTAGATTTTTAAAGTGCATGTTTTCATTGAAAGAAATGTAACCCTCATGCTTTTAGCTTCTTAAACTATTAATCAACATGTCATTATAGAAGAGCAATTTGACATCTAGAGAATATTTTCAGTTTTTAAAATAATTCTGATTTTTAAAAATGGAAAGTCATTATAGGCTGTGGATAAGAAATTTGAAAATAAAGATTGTTGGGGAAGGTTTGATAATTGTCATTTAAAAACTTTATTTGTTTTGTTCTCCATTTACTCACAGCTGGAGACATAAAAAAATCAGCCTCAAAATGTAAAATCGTTTCATGTAGTTTTAATGATAAGCATAATACAGATACTTTCTAATTATGTTAGAAGAGTTAATATACATATAATTCTTGAAATAATGCCTCATATATGGTAAACACTCAAACCCTGGCGACTACTAATATTATGTTTAAATTGATACGAATGTATCAATTTTTTATTATTGAATTTCAATTTTCCTATATTACAATACTCATTTTATATGCCAGTAACTGCACTGCCTTATTACTGTTCACATTATTAGTGTTCGCTTTGTCCAAAGAACATGAAAACTTGAGATTCTCAGTTTTTGGTGCTTAGGAATTATGGTAAGTCTAGAATCTCTGTTGAATTTCACTACTACCATTTCAACATGGATATGGAGCAAGAATGTATTTGAAGTGAAAGTTTATTCAGATTCCCAGCCCAAGTTTATCCAACAGTCACTCTTTGAGCACCCTCCATGTACTAGCATTGAGTGTATAGAGAGCTTATGGTCTTGTACTTAGGTAGTTTGCAATACTAGCGGAGGAGACAGATGTATAAACAAATACGTTGCATATGATGGGATAAGTACTAGAGTAGGTTGTTAGCTGTATGCTGGGGGAGCCAGAGTAGAGAGTAGCCTGAGGAGCTGGAGAAAGATGCCCTACAGGATGGCATTTGATCAAGGTTTTAACATATGAATAGGAGTTGCCTCAACCTGTCTATCTGTAAACAGGGGCAGTTGGACAGTATTTCTTCATGCCCCAAACTTTTATGATGTTAATGCTCTAGGTTCTACTTGGTCAATAATGAGGAACACTGGGCCTTTGCATTTTTGCAGAAGACCTTGTCTGCACAATTCTAAGCTTCTCAGTCCACAGTAAAAACATCAGTTGACTGTTCAGCTGTTCTGCTATCCTGCCAAATAGCTGAGCTTGTAGATTTCAGAAAAAACAGTTCACACAACTGGCTGAATGTTTCACTTTTCATCAGGACATTTTGGCATCAGGTGGACAATAACCGTGGACGAATTTCAGGAATTTGAGTGATTTGGATTAAGTACAGAGAAAATAATAGCTTAGATGCTGATTTGAAGTGAAGTTCAATTATTCAAAGCCAAAATATAGCTTTTCTTCTTCCAAGGGGTCTAAGATGCTTATTAGCTCTGGCTTTGGGCCTAGGGTATTTTTGTAATGAAGACGGCTGAAAGTTCGCAGGACAGATGGTGTTGCCATCCGTCATGAGGCTGCAGAAAATAGCAGAGCTAAATTAGAGACTGGAAGAAATAAGAAATTGAATGAGGAGAAAGGTCCAAATGTTACCTGAGTGGTTATACAATTGGACCCAGTTCTGCCTCAACAATTCCAATAATTGGAATAATATATTTTTTTAGACCAATCTTAGAGAGGTAGAATGCACACATTTTATGTGCACAGTTCTCTGAGTCTTGACAAACATCTCCACCCAAATAACCATCACCACCATCAAGATATAGAACACCGTCTTCACTCCAAAGCACTTTGCCCCTTTGTAGTCCTTCCTCTTCTCACATCCCCAGCCTTAGACAACCATGAATCTGCTTCCAGTCACTGTAGACTAGATTTGTCTTTCCTAGTTTCATATAAATGGAAGCATACAGTATGTACTCTGTTGTGCCTAAATTCGGTCACTTGGCATAATGTTTTTGGGATTCATCCATGTTGTTGTTGAGCGTATCAGTCATTCTTTCCTTTTAGTTGCTGATTAGCCTTAGTAAATGCTGATTACTTCATTGTACAGAATATTGCAAGTTGTCTGTTTACCTGCTTATGAACACTTGGGCTGTTCTTCATTTTAGGCACTTATGATTAAGGCTGCTAAAGACATTCATGTACAAACCTTGGTGTGAACATCTATTTTCATTTCTTTTGGGTAAGTACTTAGGAGTAAAATTGCTGGGCCATATGGTAACGATATGTTTTAACTTTTGTAAGAAAATGACAAACCATTTTCCAGGATGGCTGTTTTGCGTTCCCGCTAGCCACGTTTAGGAGTTCCAGTTGTTCATCATCCTTGGTAACCTAGCATTGTCCATTTTAGCTATTCAAGTAGGTGTGCAGTAATATTACATTGATGTTTTAATATGCATTTCCCTGGTGACTAATGATTTTGAGCAACTTTTCATGTGCTTATTAGACATTCGTGTATTCTTATTTGTGGAGTGTTCAAATCTTTTCTGTGGTGGTTTTGAAAGTTTAATGAGGCACTTATGTAGTTCAGTGAATATGCCTTGGGGCTACCATGGCGGGTGGATTGGGTTTGTGCTTAAGGTTATTTTGAAGACAAGCCTCCATGGTTAAAAGCAAAATTTGAAAACTATTGGTTTAAAAGCAAAAGTGTGAAGGAGGTAATTTGTCTTTTGATGTTTCTATGTCTCTTTTCCTCAAGGGCTTTCACCGTTAAGTGGCAAAGTTCTGTGCTGGACATTCTAGGAACACAAAGCTTAGATGGTAAGGCCTCTGAATTCAAGAAAGCATTGCAGTAGAAAGAAGGACTGCTGTGTGTGTACACCCATAATTTCCTGAAAAAAAAATAAGAAGCACTGCCAGGCCTTGGAATCACAGAGACTGGGTATATGGGTTTATACCCAAATTCCTCCTTTTGTTAGGTCTGTAATCTTGAACAAATTTATTGCCCCCTTTGAGTCTATACTTTCACCAGCTAAAAATAGGATTAATGATATCTAACCAGTAGGTTATTCTGAGGTTAAAATGAGGAAATAAATGTACAGCGTCTGGAAGCATGCCCAGCACATAGTAGCTGCGTATCAAATATTAGTTTCTTTCTTTCCCTAAAATTTCTCTATTTCTTCCCTTTCTTTTAGCATCTCAGGGTCTCCACTGTGGCGTTTCATCCTTCCCACCCTTCAAAGGTTCTAAACTTAGATTAAATCTGCCTCCATTTCATCATTTATCTGTTTGTATCTTCTCACAGAGTCTTGCTAAATGCATGAGTAGCTAATCTGGCAACATATAACTTCTGTTTAGGTGGTTGAGAGTATTTCAAATTTTCAATAAGCACCTAATCTAAGGAGTAGGATCAAGGGAAGAATGAGAAAGGGAGGAATTTGGGGGCTGTGGAAGGCTGGTTAGGGTAGGTAGTGGTTTTGGTACCGCTGACCTTTCCCAGAACCCCACATATCACATTACATAAGTGGCTATCTCCAGGGAGTTTGCATGAACTTGGACATTTTTAATTAGTTAATCCTTTTCAAGTCCCTCTCCCCTATTTTTTATGAGATCTTTCCCACCATCTTCTAGCAGGGGAGAGCCATATGAATGACTTTACAAGCCAAGCAATGGCTCTTTAATAAATGTCTTGTTTTTCTCCAAATTTATAGTTTTACCATGCTCAAGTATTTGTTGATTGCTTGTGATTTAGTGGTGCATTTCATAGAGATTTTCTGACTTTTTATAAAACTCTTATTATCTGTAGTCATTGTAGCAAAACCCTGATTAAGTAGACAAACCTGATATCAGTGCTCTAGATTGTATTTTTGGGAACCCATATAGCATCCAAACTAACAAATCTTCAAGGACAGTATGGATGATAATCAGCTCTACTTCAGATATTGTGAAATCATAGAATAATAGACTTTTACAGCTGGAAGGGCCTTAGGGAACAGCTAGTCTTAATCCCGTGTATAGTTTTTAGTTGAGGACATTTTGTTATGGTTATTAAAAAGTAATTTCTTGATGAAGTTTGATATGTTTCATTGGTCATGATATTGACCTGGACATACCACTTCTGAGAATATTCTGAGATAGCTGATGCATTCATTTCTTCCTTTTTTTCTTTTTTCTTTTTCCTTGAGTTGGAATCTTGCTCTGTCACCCCAGCTAGAGTGCAATGGTATCATCATAGCTCATTGCAACCTCAAATTCCTGGGCTCCAGTGATCCTTCCACCTCAGCCTCCTGAGTAGCTGGGACTATAGTCATGCACCACCACACCTGGATAATTTTTCTATTTTTTTCAGAGATGGGATTTTGTTCTTGCTCAGGCTGGTCTCAAAATCCTGAGCCCAAGCCATCCTCCTGTCTCCACCTCCCAGAGTGCTAGGATTACAGATGTGTGCTACTGTGCCTGGCCCTTCATTCATTTCTTGAATGTAACTTTTCATAATTAAATTCACAATCCTCCATTCTGGTACTGTTAGTTTGGTTAGTTTTGTTAACACATTTTATTTTTCTATTGATTTGGGAAGCAGATAGTCCTGTAGAATATTAACATTATGCAATAAAACCACACTAAGCCTCAGGTCCTGAAATGAGCTAGCTTCTTCCTTGCCAAATTATCTTTGGGGACAAGTTAACAGACAACTGAAAAAAATGTTTATAGCTGTCCACAAATGGGTTCTTACTCTGAAACTTTATCCACTTTACAAACGAAAAATGTTTCCCCAGATGACTGAAAAAGATTGCCTCCAAACAGAGTGACTAGACTGACATACATCCAAGTTATCCCAATTGGATATTCCTGGAAAACTCAATTCTATTCTGAGAATGAAAAGTTATAAGAGAAAGTGAGTAGAGAGTTTGGCACTGTCTGCTTTTATCTGTTTTCTTGGGTAATTCCTTGTGGACTTCTCCAAAGAATTTTTGAAATATTAAAATGTCCTTTCTAAAACATTGTACAACTCAAGCCATTGAGCAAAATTTGTCAATATCAAGTCTTCATTGGGAAAAATGAAGGCAACTTAGCCAAGTATAGCAGTAGGCCAGATGTTGTTTATGATGACTTGGAACTAGATAGTAGGAAAAGTGTTGGGAAGAAGGGATACTCAATATCCAGTACCAAGAGTATGGAAAGGTGTGTGAGAGTGTGGAAAGGCAATAGAAGTTTTATTCAAAATTTTAAAATTCAGTTTTTAATACTTATAAACAGTAACAGAAGATTTGCAATTTCACATATGTGTCTTGGTCAAATTCCCCTGAGCATCATGGCTTAATGGGATCTCCCAGAAGTCGGTCTAAGTAGTGTTGTTCCTTGTTTGGTCTTGTGCGGTGGTGGTTTTATTGTCCTGTTGAATTATGTTCATTTCTTGTTTTAAATGCTGCTGCATTTCCCTGTGGTATATGTTTGTATACATATTATTTATTTCATGTTTTGTGACAGTCTAGAGAACCCTGGTGGAAAGGAGGATTCCATGAAAGGCAGACACTATTAATATGGAGCCAATCACACACACAAAAAAAAAAGAGAGAGAGAGAAGGTAAATACTTAGGAAATGAGCACATTTACAGGAAAGAGGCTGGAAATGACCATCAGTAACTGGCTTATAAAGTGTCAACAAGCATATTTATCATCCAGGCCACAGACAGTGTCAGAAGAGAAAAGTGTAAAACATTTTTTAAAAACTCAAAGCTTAGAAAGACCACCAATTATATATTTCTGGAGTTATACAATGATTCTATTGAGCACTGCTTCCAAAAGTTCAGGAGGAAGACTGGCTAAAGGATAAGGAAACTTAAATTTCTTTTGTGATTCCCTAAATTTCTGGACTCCAAACTCCTTAAGCATATAGAATATAAGACAGTTCTAGAGAAAAAAAGAAAATCTTTAAAAGGAATAGCTGTCCTCATATTCCATCCCTAGGCCTCAAAATGTATGGCAACCAATGGTAATAATACATTTTAGGCCAGCAAATGTGGACAGCAGAAAACAAGGGTGGATCTAGTCTGAGGCAGAGGCTAGCACAGACTTATGAGAAGGGACTGGGCCCTGCAATTCCCTGTGAGTTATATTTTAGAAAATAATTTGTTCATTTTATTTATTGTATGTCTCCCCCAACTAGAATGTAAATCCCCAAATTGCAAAAATTTATATTTTTCTTTCACTGGTGCATTCCCCAAGTTCTATACTCTGCCTGGTTGGTGCACAATGAGAGTTCAATCAGTATTTGCTGGGCGCATGAATGAGATGGCACCTATGGAGGAGTCAATGCTGAAAGAGAAACATTGTAACCCCATGGCCAGTTAGTGCTGGAGATAAGGACAAACTGTACCTTCTTATCTTGGCCAAGAGTGGGCGCTGTAGTCTTCAAGGCTGGATGTATCTTTGGCAAAAGCCTGTCAAGTTGCCCAGAGCTTCCCAACCAACACTTAGTTTGATTTCACCAATTATGACCAAACTGCCAGCTGTCTCTGAGGATGCCAAGGCCATCTTCAGTAATAATGACCATTCACTGAGCCCTTACAACTTGTCAGGTGCTACTCTAGGACCTTCCTATGTCTTTGTATTACCTCCCTTAATCTTTAGAATATCCTGAGGAGTGAGATACTGTCATTGGCCCCATTTGATAGTTGAGGCAACAAAAGCCCATAGAGGTTGAGGAATTACCTGAGGCACATAGCTGGCAAGTGCTGGAGCTGGGATTTAAACCCAGGCAGTCTCCTCACCACCAGACTATCTGACCTTTTTGTGACTTTGTGAGCCGACTAGAGCTACATCCATTTTCCAGATAGAAGAGGAAGCTTCAAAGTGCACCAAAATTGGGCCCGGATTTTATCTTCCCTGGGTCAGACTCAAATCATCTAAAATTAGCCTTGACTTCTCCAGGGAAAAGTTTTAAAAGAATTGAAGTAATTGCAGGACTATGGCAGAAATTATTATGAAATGCCAGAAAATAAATCCAAGGTGGAGAGAAGTTAATCTATATCTATATCTTATATATGTAAAAGATAAAAATTAGGGGCTTGGAAAACATGTAGTAACTTTGAGATGTTTTCTTTCAAGTCCAGTGTTTAAGAGTTTAGAGAAGAATTTTCTATAACATGTTACCCATCTGTCTAGAGAGTAAAAATTTTAAACAGACTCTGTATTTGAAAGGGAAAAAAATAGTCCAAAAGATAATGTAGAGTTGAGTAAGAT